GATCCGTCCCTTGAGGGGGGGGTACTGTCACGATCTGTCTGTGTTGTTGTTTTGTCTTGTCTTTGGGTTTCCTGTTTTATTTTGTAAATTGTTCACCCCCGTTTCCTGCCTGTTGCTTTCTGTCTGTTTTCCCTCCCTGATTACCCGATTGTGTTCACCTGGTGCCTCTGTGTTTTCGCCTACCTCCTCACCTGTCTCGTGTTTGTTTGATTAGTCCTGGGTGTATTTAAGTTCTGGTTTTTCCGTCTGTCTTTGTCGGTTCGTCTTGTGTTATGACTTGGTCGTCGGTGAGTGTTCTGTTCTGTCTTCGTTTATCGGATTGCCTTGAAATAAAGGAGTTTTTGACACTTTAATCTGCATTTGGGTCCTGCTTCCTGCACAAACCGTGACAGTTTCAACTTTTGCTGGTTTAAATTATTTTAGTCGTAGCAGATCTGTTCAAGAGGAAAAGATAAGAAATATGAATTATCCTCTACTATGTAAGTGGAAATGTGTAGACAAATGCTTCCATTCCACAAATCAAATCAAGTTTTATTTATATAGCACATTTATAAACGATCTTTGGTCGAGCCAAAGTGCTGTACATATAATAAAATTAGCCTACAGTAGAGACACCTTACAGCAAATACAACAGCACAGATTGTTCAGAATATCAGCATGAGAAAAAACGACACCCTCTGTCCTTAGACCCTCACATCGTACAAGGAAACGCTTCCAGAGAAAACCCACAGTTTAAGGGGAAAAAATGGAAGAAACCTCAGGGAGAGCAACAGAGGAGGGATCCCTCTCCCAGGACGGACAGACGTGCAATAGATGCTGTGTGTAAATCGAAGAGATAATACATTTTACAGCATAGACCGAATGTTAGGAAATGCATGTGTCTGTAATAAGAAGATGAATCCACGAGGATGTCAGCTACAATCCTGTGGAAGCCATCAGGGAAGCAGCATGACGAGACCCGAGGCAGGACCGCAGAGACAGGCTCATACAAACACAATAGTGTGCATATTCTCACTGAGTTTGTCAGTGCCATACTCTCGACGTGAAACTGGCTTGTTTTTCACAACAGTATCTCATTTGTGTTGGAATATTCAATATTTGCTTCTCTGCATCTAATCTCTTTTAGGCACGTTGCATTTTGTCAATTTGCCTGGAAATCCAAATAAACAGAAATGGGCTTTTGTGAATACTTTGCACAGTCCAAGGGTATTACTCATTAAGTAAAAGATGCTTAAGCATAGTTTGACTGTGTTACCAACAGCTGCTACTGTCTCTCTCTCTCCCTCTCTCGTGCTTTAGAAGTGCTGACTTCTCCAACCTCACTGCTGAGCCACACACAAGATAGAGATTTTGCACACTGCGAGATGTAAAATGAGTGCATTCAGTCATATTCCCTCTTGGATAAGTAGATTGAAATGTTGGATTCAAAGGGAGGATTGCGGTGAAATGTTCAAGGATTTTCCCCTTGCATTTTATAAAGGTCTATCTCAGTATATTCACAGTGTTGGATCATGGCCCTCTTCACATAATGATACACATTAGATGTTGTGTTTGGTAGTGTAACAATCCATGTTATGTGTCTAGATTTCACACCACAATTTACACATTAGCGTAAGCCTTCAGGGAACCCTGCGCCTGCCCGTTAGATGAACTAAAAAAATATCACTAAGAATACTTGCGCTTCAGGCTGGAGTAGCTTCAGAGACCCGCTGCTGAACTCACCAACTTACAAAGATACAGTGACCCTGTGAGGCCCTGTGGAGAGAGAGGAGGTCAAACTGAGGTGAGATGCCCCTGGATAAATATTGAGTTTGTTGTACACTATTTTTATTAAGTGACCCTGAATAGATGTACAGTTGAAGCTTTGGGTGTTATACATGTTAGATGAGTTTAATCCTGTCTGTCTTACAAGTGTCAGGAAGAATAACAGTGTTTTACTGCAAATAATAAGCAGCACAGAGTTTGAAACTGAATACAAATCTGACGTTTTAATATGTTATAAAAATCACCAAAGCAGCAGTGTTAATATGGAGGAAGGCATCTGTCAGTCCGCCAAATGGAAATGGTATCCCCAGGGGCAAGGCTAATTGAAGTGCATGTAAACAAACAAGGCAGCAGCAAAGTGCCATAGCAGACAACCATCCCAGTAATCTTGGCTTTTTTTCTGAGCCTACTTTACTGTTGTTTACTCATTATCATTCAGTTTCCATCCAACACTTAGAGGCTCTCTGCAATTTGAAATAACAACATGTGAAAACACACAGGAAGGTAGGCATGTAATACATAAATGGAAACATTATGCATGAGCTGCATTTGTTGTCCATGCACACAAGATAAATGAATACATGATATTACCAACATGTATATCATCTATAAAGTCAAGGCTGTTGTGTTTTCATCATGCTGGAGAAAACACACTGAATAATATGAAAATGAGAAAGATGAGAATGTTTGTTTTCCAAGGATGAGATTTGATGTTTGCTTTTCTAAATCTGAGGATAAGTTCCACAAGGAGTTTTATTTGCAAATATCATTATTAAAAAACAAGCAAAGAGTAGATTTAAATATGATTTGAATAAACATCAAGGGTATAAATCGCTCAGACGTAACAAAAGATAATCATGAAATGTGTGCAAGGAAATTAATCCCAAAAATGTTTTTGTCCTATTTTATTTTTTGTCATTCCATTATTTACTATTCATTGCATGCAATAACAAGCATTCATCAACAAAAAAAAATCTATTTGTGTACACCCTTTACTAAAGGCTAAGAGGAAGAGAATAAAAAGAGAAGGTATAACGATTTGCAAAATACTGTTGTTACTTAAGATGTTAAAAGAGAAAAAGTATAATTACAGTCATTACATGCACTGTTTAGCCTTAACTATAGTTTTAACATGCCTTTGTTTCATGACGAAAGAATTGGCTTAAAATGAGAAAAACACTTTAAAATCCCCAAGAAAATGTTAGCATTAAATTAAATGGAGGGTCTCTCTAACATCATTCAACACCTTAAGTGTCATTATAGTTATTCCCTCGTTTATAGCTCCTCAGGCAACATATGGCTCAATGAAATGAATAACATATTTATGGATATTTTCTACAGAGTAAACCATTTCTTCGCTAATTTCTTACATTCTTGATGCGTACGCAGCAGTTAGACAGAGGTCCTCTTTTATGCCCAACATAGTGTTGTGTTTATGTTTGTCCTCCTATTTAGAGTGTGTCCACGGGCCAAATCAAAGTGCTCTTCCTGGATGACCCCATCACTACTGGCTTAGAGAGACAGTTCACATGCAACCTGGTGCAAAGACATGTTGAAAAAAATCTCACATAAAGGTTTATTATCCTATTTTGGAAAAATGGGATTGGAAAATAGGACAGGATCTCTCAAAAATAAACCTCGTCTCTCCTGAAACTACATATTACATTTGCTCAAACTAATCCGGCATTGTGTAAACAGGTACAAAGATTTCACCAGCGAGAGGATGATTTATGCGCAGTACAAAGGAAATAGAGATGTTTTTTCAGAGACGCAGCTGTTTGGCTACATCTCTATGTGCCACTCCTGAGATAGATGCACGCACGGGTATCCTCCACAGTCAGGTCGTCTCACCCTGCCAAGTCTGTCTAAATCCTGTCTCCCTCAGACTGAGTGAGGAGGGACAACAATAGCAAGACGAACACAATCTATTTTCTCCCCAAGTATTGGTGACAGTGCGTCTGTTTTGTCATTGTCACAAACATACAAGTCAGCACAGCCAGAGGCAAGCAAAAAAAGACCCAGACGTTCTCACTTCTACAAAATATATGGCTCCCCGGTTTTCTGTGCTGCATTGTCATATATCGTATCTTCTCAAGGGTTCACAGATGCCATCACATTTCTCCCTGATCTTGTCAAGTGGGTGTCTAGCAACTCCTTGTGACAGAACTGTCGCCTCAACCTTTGAAATCCATAGGGCCGAGGGCTGTTTTTAACAAGCATGGCTGGCAGCTAGCTCAGCTGAGACCAGTCACCCTCAGTCACCACTTAGCAAGGGGATAACACAGTCTGACACAGCAGTGTGTGTGGAGTGTGGCATCTTGATTGTTGATGGAGAAATTAAAAAAAAATAGGTCAAAATGTCATCAGCCACCTTGGATCACCATTCACTAAATATGTTGAAAGCTGCAGTCCATCATAAAAACTAAGTACCTCATGTGAATGCACAATCTTGGTAAAATGTATAAGCCAAATGTCAATAATAATAATAATGATAATAATAATAATAATAATAATAATAATAATAATGATAACAATGTATTCAGATTTCTCTGACTTACATTTTTAAGCATTGGTATGGGGACAGGGAATAGTGGGAGAAGTACTCAGATCTTGTACTTAAGTAAAAGTAGAAGTACCAGTCCCTTTTTTATTTGTTGTTTATACTTAATATCATTATTCCAAATGTATGTAACTAAAGGTATATAATAAATGTAGTGGAGTAAAAGTACACTATTAAAGCATCTGAATTGTAGTGCAGTAAAAGTACAAGAAGCAAAACATTAAAATACTGAAGTAAAGTACAAGTTCCTCAAAATAGTAAAGCACGTACTTGAGTAATTATGTAAGTATGGCTTTTTTAATTGAATTTTATTTTTATTTTTAAAGAAATGTCGTCAGCCATTTGGTTTATATGTGGTTAGTTATATTATATAATAACACAAGTCTCTCTGGATTGTATTATTGACGTACACCATCTAGTGGACATTCCTCAACAATGCACTAATGTTAAAACACTGTAATGAAACTCATGATTGCTTATCGACAGAATGTAAAAACGTCATAATATATACTGTATTAGAAATAATGAAATAAATGCCTCAATTTGGTATGAAGCTACTTTAAAACCCTATACAACATTGCTGTCAAAATAAAGTTCTTTAGATGTGGAACCTTTTTTTGCACGTGTAGTTTAGCTACAACAACATTTTCAGCGACACCACAACTACACTTTCAAGATGGCGGCGCCCGTAATTGAAACATGCCACATAGCTTGTTGTGCAAACAGGACTCCAAATGTTGTTTCTTGGGGTCGTGGAGGGACTATTGCTTTTGGGACATGTACCTCGGTAGCTCTCTACGACCCACAGGTAGTAAAATCCGTCTAATTTATTCTGTCATGTTAGCTGTGGATGTTAGTGGACACTGCTAAAGATAACCGAGCATCCTGTTGTTGTAAATAAAGGTGTTTTTTGTTACCTTAATAAATAAACGATTTGTTTTTTTACTGCAGGAGAGAAGAGTGGTGGCTGTGCTGAATGGACACACAGGGAGAGTGAACACAGTGCAGTGGATTCACAGAGAGGACTGTGGTGAGTGTCCTGCTGTCACTGATGGACCTGACAGGATCTGGTTTTGTCTTTAGCTCTTATAACAGTTTTAAAAAAAAAAGAAGCTAATTTGACGGCCTGTCACTTATGAGCCGTAAAGTATACATTTTGTTCTAAATGATGTCGATACCCACAATTTGTTCTCAAACAAATGCAGCCTGTTATAGCTCATAAAAATGTCCCTGTAAAATACACCTAATACAGGACAGGAACAGAAAACAAGGAACATGGGAATATGTTAGAGGTAGAACATTATTTATTTTCTAAATATAATGTATTTAACAAATAGTTAATCAAATCAACTTAATGATATTACAGATAATACATGTCGTAGTACACCTTAATACAAGGTTTTTTTATGAATGTGAAAAGATGGAACTCTTCAGTGTATATAATTAACTTAAAAACTGCCCTGTTTCTTACTTAAATGTAAAACATAATCTTTCATAGTGGAACATTTTGTCAATATAAGATTATTTATGAGATACCTTAATTGTAACTAAGTGGCATAGCACATAACATTGAAAAACTGTCCCGGTCCGAAGGTGCACAAAAGGCACTTTTACCTTTTATACTGTGTTTTTATCATTTGGTCAGCTCCAGAGAGTCATCTTGTCTCTGGAGGCTCAGATAATCGGCTCATTGTCTGGGAGGTTCAAAATGGGAAGGTAAGCCATCTGTTTCATCAGACATTGTTTTTCCTTCTTTTTTTTATCTTCTAATATGTGCTCTGTTGTCTCCAGTTCATCCAGTCGGTGGAGTGTAAGGGCCACACGGGTGCAGTGTGTGCTGTGGACGCCATCTATCTGGAGGATTCAAAGGTCCTGGTGGCCTCCTCAGCGTCCGACTCCACTGTCAGACTGTGGCTCTGTGATGGAGCCAAAGAAGGTAAGAAACACAAAATAATCTGGCAACAACTTTTTGGTTTCAGCCTGTGGAGATGTTGTGGTACAACACTTGCCATAATAAGGTTGGAAATTGTTCTGAAGAATAGTGTTTTAAAGTACTATTAATACTTAAAGGGGACCTATCATGCAAAATGCACTTTGTGATGTCTTTTATACATAATATGTGTCCCCGGTGCGTCGGGGAACTCACGCAGCATCAGAAAATAAAACCCTCTCTCTTTTCCTTCGTACCCAAATCTTTTAAAAACAGGGGTATAACGAGCGGATACAGATTTGCTGCCGATTTGACGTCAGATCGGCAGCGGACCCACAGAAAATTGCTATCAGAAACAATGCCTAACGTGTTTTGGGCGTAATCTCGTCTTTGTTTACATTAGCAAGCCTCGCTAACACTCAGAGCTAACCTGTACTGAGGAGCACATGTGTTTAAAAAGCAGGAAATAAAAAAAGGAACTCACCTTGTGATAAACCTGCAAGAGAAAAAGCATTTGAGCTCCATACTGTTTCAGAAATAATCTTTGATGTGGTTTAGAACAGGATGGCGTTTTATCACAGCAGAATTTAACTTTATCTCCGGTAGAATTCTGATCAGGCATTAGCTCCGCCTCCTCTTTTTTTTTTTTCAAGCTAAGGACCCAAAATCCGTGTTTCTCTAACAGGGCTGCAAAAGAGGGGTTTGAGCAGTATGAGGCATGGTTACAATGGGTGATCTGTTTGGTATTTTAAGCAAAAAACTTCACAGACATGTTTTATATAGGTATGGCCCTACAATATATTTTTCCAATATAGCATAATAGGTCCACTTTAATTTGGGTCCTTTTCATCATTTTGTGACCCTTTCAAAATAAAGCAATGTCAACTGTAAAATAATAGGAATATTTATTGTCATTGGGAGGACTACAATTAAATTAGGAGCGCTACTCCTGATCAGTACAGTTAAAAGATACAGAACAAAAACAGTTAAACGCAAGACAAAATCAAAACATCCTCCGTTGACATTGGAAAATCCAATACATTTAAGTTAATCAAACAACATGATAGCTGGCCTCTTCTCTACAGGGCTGCAGAATTGTTTAGTGTGATCACATCAATAACACTTTGTTTATATTTGACATGCATTCACATAGATAAGGTCAAAACAGCTGAAACAAATGTCAGTGAAAGAAAATGCCTTTGGACAGATATTAAATCTCTCATTCCAATTTGTTTATTTCCGTAAAAATGTAAGTTGACCGAGTTCAACAGCTGTATTATTGTAATATTTTCTCACATGAATTATTAGTGGTATTCCCAGCTGTCATCCATATCTCCCTTTTTTCTAAGCTGTCAACCATAACAGCTTCTCTTTATAAAAGTTTCTGTCCCCCCGTCAGTGCGGATGAACACTGATGCTGCTTGACAGTCATGCACATTAAGCGTGTGTGTATGCAAACCAGGCGTAACCTTGGGGTGTATTCCCAAATGAAAAAACGGTCCATGTGAAGTTGGATTGTGACTGCTTGAAAGACCCTTGGCCTCTACAAATGAGGATAGACAGAAAAACATGCTTCTTTTAAACATTCCAGAAACCGTGAAAGGAGAATTTCCACATGCAATATAGCAAGCAATTGCCATATAGTTCTAAAATATATCCGGACTTATTTATATAAATATCTGTAAAATAATGTCTGTGAAAAGGCTATGTTATGCTGTTTTTTCTTTAGCTGCATCATGGTTTCAGACTCCACCTTCCTCAAGAAAGTGCGACACAAAGCTGCATGAGTAATTGAAGTAGAATTTAATAGCTTCTCTAAAGCCTGTTGTAGTTGTAAAAACGATCAGGGTTTAAACAGTGATCAACTTGTTTTGTGTTCTTGAATGTGAGGGAATTTGGCCTGGAAAGTCCTTGAACGTGATGTGTAAGAACCCTTCTCTTAGTTGCGTAGCAGTATTACTCGTAGGGCATCACAAAGTTTAATCCATATGCTTGTATGTTCCTCAGCTGAGTGCCTCCACACCTTATCGTTCGGCAACAGTTTTATGATGGATGTCTCTCTGGCACTGTTGCCAGGCAGCAGAGGTAAGCCTAAGCTGTTCCTGCATAGACATCCTTTATGTTTTGCTTCAAACACACACCTACAGAAATGTTTCCTCTCATGCCATCCATCTCAATTTGCACTACTGCTTTAGCACCTGTAACCAAATGTCATTTTCTAAATTCTGCCTGTGTTTGAAGTGTCTCATATTATTTTGCCTTTCTGTTTCACATGTTTTACATCTGTTTGAGGTTGTGCTTCCCCCTTCTCTTACATCGCATGTACACAATGTAAACATAGATGTAAATGCTATATGTGTATGTGTGTCTGTGTGAGCTTACAGTACTTGACTGTGTGAAACCTGCCTTTCTTTTTTTTTACAGTTCCCATACTGGCCTGTGGGGGTGATACCTCCCAGGTGGATCTGTATGTGCTGTCTAATGGAGAGGTGAGCTCAGACAGATACTCTGTTTAAGCGACATCGCATTTATTTTTTCCCTGACATGTTTATTTGTAATTACTTGAGTATGTGAGCAAAATGTTACCTTTTTTAATTGCCCTACAACAGCTCCAGAAATCCATGTCTCTGCAAGGACACGAAGACTGGGTTCGTGGAGTGACCTGGACATCTCTAGGTGAGCGCCACATACTTCTCACTCAATTTAAAGTCAGATAAACATACAATATGTACTGTAGGCAAGTGTCTGTGATTTTGAAAACGTTTCTGTTAACCAGAAAGTCTGGTTAAAATAAATTCAGAACAGAAAATATACATATTGTTTCAATTCTCTTAGAGCCTAATAACATTTTCTTAAAAGCTTGTGCTCACGGGTCTCTATAATATGTGATTTATCTTAAGCAAGCCTGCAAACTGAATACAACTGGCCTTTTAGAAGAGTGAGATAACACATGATTGGTTAAAAGCTAAAAGGTGGGAGGAGCTTTCCAGTAAGAGCCTTCCACCAATTTCAACAGAAAGACAGACAAGTGTATTTCGACCTTCTTTAAGAAAAACAACTAGACACATATCTCCTCTTTGGCTTAATGGAGCATTTAGAAAAACTAGACACAGCCTTTCAACTTTTTTTTAGGCCCGCATCACCAACTAGTTTGCTATTCACAGTATTGTGGTAGCACAATGCAATGCATGGATCCAATCCAAGCGCTGCTAATTTTGTAACCCTCTTCAAGGGCTCTTCATTACGGCACTGTTCTGACTGTGTAAAAGCTATTTCATCTCCTTAACCAGGCCTCTCCACCAGTGTCTCCTTCCCACTCACAGTCTGTGACCCACTCCACACTGCCAAGCTGCGAGCAGGCAAAGAGACAGAGAGAAGTTTGTTGATATGAAATATCCCCATGGCATAGGAATGACAAAACTCGCTCTCCACTGTGATAGTAGTTACATAAATCATTCTGTTTTTTAAGGGTTTGGCAGATGGCACATTGCAGCAGTAGTGGTGCAGTTTATCATAGCTGTTAAAACACTGGCATTCAGAGCATGGTGCTGTTTCTTGTTTTTCTGTTTCTATCTTTATCCTTTCTTTCTAAATCACAATTCCCTTTCCATCAATCTTAGTACTAGAATAAAATAGGCTCTGGTATAAAAGCAGCTTTATTGTATCTAGTAATGTTTTGCTACACAGTTTATTAAAGATGAAAATATTTGTTAGTTGCAGCCCTAATCATGTTGCCGTCTTTGGAACAGCTGTCTGGATGAAAAGTCTTCAACACGCTTGGCAACAGCACTGTGTTACTCATTTTGATTATGATGCTCAATCAAGCATCTGATCCCACACTGACACACATACGGCTAAACATGGTTTCAATCTCATTTTAAAACATTTGAGGCTATTTGTTGTAATTTAGGGTGGGGTGAAAATGTTGTATTGCTTCTTCAAAAGGCTACAGTTGGGAGCTTTATCATGGCGCAGATAAAGGTTTTTTTGAAAATCGAATGAACGAAGAAAAACTCTAAAGTTTAAGTGAAAGTTTCAACTCGATTTGTTGGCAATGGGTCATTTATACGGTTAAAAGTATCAAAACTACTCCGACAGGCTGGAGAAAATGACTAATGCAGTCTGTTTTGGCAGAATTTCAGCCCAGTACCAAAATGTATCATCAATATCATTACTAAATGATCGACAAACAACTATGGCCTTACTCCTAGCTCTCCCAGCATTTAGAAGGCATTAGGTGGTGGCAACGGAGGAATTTATAATATGTCTGTTTATCTTGGCAGAGGCAAAACTGGGCCAGTGGCCATTGGACTAAACCTGAAGCGCATAATGTGACAGACGGGAGCACTCAGAGATAGTGGCTTGTGCTTTGTTTACCACCTGTCTGTTTATATTTGTCCGGTACTCCTGCTGTCTTGCTGGCCATGTCACTGTCAGCAGCGTTCTTCTAAAATGCCTGGATAACAGATCTAAAAAACAGTCAGGCTTTAATGCTCATTACAGACCGGAAAACTAAAGTTGGAGCCAGAGTCAGGAAAGTTGGTAGTTAGGCTCAGTTCTAAATGTTGCAACATCAGTTTTTTTTCTCTCCACACACACTCACAGGAGTTGTTATCCCTTGAATCACTTCGTTTTTTAGCACCACATAAGTGGAACAAATTAAAGTGATATTTTTATTTAATGTTATTATTTGACATCTCTTTATTTATTTTCTTAATCCTGTAGTATATTCTTCCTACTTAATACTTATGGTCTTTGTCATTTTGTCCTATATAAACCATTTTAAAGATGAATACTTGATAACACACAGGGGTGTAAGTATTTCAAAGGCATTAGGATACATTCAGTGCTATAGGGAAGGGTATTTTAAGAGCTGATAGAAAATGTCTTTCAGTGGAACACGGTTTTCATGTTCTCTCTTTCTCTCGTTCAGGTGGAGAGCTGCTATTAGCCAGCTGTTCCCAGGACTGCCTCATCAGAGTGTGGAGGCTGTGTGCCAAGTCTGGGACAGATGCCCACACAGAGGACGACCACACCATCATCAAAATGAAAGAGGACGTTTTTGAAGTGAGGGAGAAAGGTGAGCGGGCCACACAGGCTTGATTTATAAAAATTGAGCTAATTAACCAAATGACTAGGCTCATTTTTTTATGATATAATTGCACACGGTGGTTACCGACTTCCATAAAGAACAAGTTTGTGTGTAACAATTACTTATATTTCATGGAATGTTTTCTGTAGTTGGCCACAAAAAAGTTCGCCTTTTTAGTATCAGCTGCTTCTCTTCTGTTCATTGTTTAAAGCCAATACCATGATCTGTCCTCTGTTCCCGCTCCAGATGTGCCCTCCTCGGTGTTTGCTGTGACTCTTGAGACAGTCCTGGCTGGACATGAGAACTGGGTCTATGGAGTCCACTGGCAGCCTCCTGTCTACAAAGGTACCTTGATGAGCAACCAGGGAAGGGATCAGTCAATACTTACGAAGTTTCAGATAATTAGCAGTAGGTTCCTGCAGAAATCTCTTGGTGTTTGTGTCAAATTAAATCAAAGTCTCAGAGTTGGCCATACGGTACTTACCTCTAAACATTTCACTCACTTATTTGGTTTCACCAGCCTGTGAAAGTAAATGGATTTTCTTGCATGCTACACGGAGAGATGTTGTTTCTCTCCCTCTGTCCTGCACTGCTGTTGTTTACAAAAAGCAGCACAAGACGGTGACAAAAGAAAAAAAGACAAAAAAGGTGTTTGCTTAATTAGCTCTCAAGGGAAAAGCCTAATGGATGTGCTAAATATTCTCTTTAAACTCTGCTTGCCTTAAAAGCTTATTACATTAAGATCACTTCAGACAGCTTCTGTATACATCCCAGATACACAAGTAAGTGAAATGACTTAATTATGAGGGCATATCCAGTTGCAATAATTATTACATTTGTTTTCCATCTTTAAAACCTAAAATGCTATCATCATTAAGCATAGATAATGTATTATCTTTTCAATTTACACACGGCATCTATTGCACGTCTGTCCGTCCTGGGAGAGGGATCCCTCCTCTGTTGCTCTCCCTGAGGTTTCTCCCATGTTTCCCTTTAAGCTGTGGGTTTTCTTCGGAAGTTTTTCCTTGTACGATGTGAGGGTCTAAGCACAGAGGGTGTCGTATTGTCATACTGATATTTTGTACAAACTGTAAAGTCCACTGAGACAAATGTAACATTTGTGATATTGGGCTATATAAATAAACATTGATTGATTGATAGATTATAATTGTTAAAATATGATGCCAAGCATCCTTATACAAATTGATCTCTACATAAATTGATCTCTTGCATGCAGCCTCCAATGTGTTAGGGAATACCAGTAAACAGAAGCAACTTTGCTTTTTAATGGTACATTTTGACCTGTTAACACATGTATTTATTTTATTTTACCTTTTATTTAACCAGGATAGGTCTCATTGAGATTAAAAATCTCTTTTTCAAGAGAGTCCTGACCCAAGAATGGTAACAGCACAGTTTCAGACAGTTTTACAGTTACAAACAATTAAAAACACACAATCACAACACAGTCATACACCAACTTTAGCCAAAGCAGGTGTAGGAAGCACTTGATTTGTTGCATCAGAGCAGGCAGACATCCTTAACATGCTACCGACTTTTATACATTATAGAGACACAAACCATGATGAGGATTTCTGTACAACCTTAAAAATATGTTATAGAATATCACAAGCCACTCATAGGCTTAGCCAACGCTTTAAGCCACTGAAGATCCGCTTTCTTTACATAATTGACACACACTTTACTTGTCAGGTCAATAAATGTCTGGTACAAAGTTTGCAGTTTAACACAGAGTCCATTGTTTTTCTCGTAGTGTTACAAAATTGACACCACAATAGGCAGCCATACTTTACCTCAGCGTGTGTGTGTGTGTGCTTGTCAGTGTGTGACTGTGTGTGTGTGCTCGGGGGTGTGTGTTCAAATCTGTTTGGCCTTCCAGCTGAACCCCAATCCACAAATATTGTTTACTACCTTTATACCAGGTGCGTTCATTGTCTCCTACACCACTAGCCTAATCATTGACTGTTGTCTGTAGACCATTATTAACTGCAAGCTGCTCCTATAAGTGTCTATTTGTCTCCCCCTGCAGGTGGAGAGCTGCAACAGCCTCTCAGTCTGCTCTCTGCCTCTATGGACAAAACCATGATCATCTGGGCTCCTGAGGAGGGGTCTGGAGTCTGGGTGGAGCAGGTGAGTGTTGTCTTGAGCGCCTTCACACACACACACATGGTATCAATCACTCTCTGCAGGGAACACTGGGTTTGCACACAGACCTACACACCAATCCCTTTTCTGCTAGTTTTCCTTTCAGCAGCTCTTGACATGATCCAAGCGTTTGAGCCCCCCGCAGTATTCTCTCTCCTGCTGTCAGGGCCCCTGCGTCGTTCTCCACTCTCCCTGACATTGAGGTGTCAGGAATAGAAGTGATAGACAGTGATGAAGAAGCGTTGAGCCTGGCGCACCACTGTGAGTTTAGACAAGCCGAGGTTGTCCTCCCCCATCTTCCCCTCCATCACTCACTCACACTGAACCCCCTGTTTTACGGCCCATTCCCCAACAAATCCTATGTGTCCAATGGAAGACATACCATAGCCTCTGCCTGCAACCCCTTTTTCCTTATTATTTTTTCACCCCATGATCTGTCTTTAACGTTGACTCCCCATTCCGCCTTCACTCATTTCACTTCGTCTTTTTTTCCACCCCTTGCCTTCCCTTCTCTCCTCCTGTCTCGTCTCCCTCTCTCACATTCTCTCCCTCTCCTGCTTTCCTCTCGCTCCCCTCCACCTCGTCTCTCTGAGCTCCACACAGCTGCTGTTGTGCCGGAATGTGGCTAAATTTAACACAAGTGTGGATGGTGAAGAAAAAGCCTTTTTTCCCATCTGTCCCACAGTTTTTCTTTTTTTGACTATGACAAATTCTCAGGGGAGTCAGGATTACCTTAGAATACCTTTGAACATACCTGTCAGAGAGACAGGAACAGGCTTGCAAAATTGTCAGACACATATTTTCACACATGCAGAATCTCATTGTGCACACAGGCTCCAAATGAAATACATACATCACTGTATGGCAGGCACCTTGTGTGTGATCACAAGTGATTTTCCATACTCGATCATTTTGGCGCCTTTGATCTCATCATTCGCATCCACAGTGATGAGCAACAAAGACCAAAGAAAGAAGCAACCAGAAAAGTCTTGATTCTCCTCTCAACAAAGGGACGATGATTAGAGCCTGAAGCCAGTGTCACATAGTTCTCTCAGTCTTCTTCTTAGTATATCTAGACAAAGGTGGTCAGTGGAAATGAAAAGCAGCAGTGGGCATTTGAAATCATGTCTGCTGTGCCCAATCTCCATCCACTGCTCAGGCCTTTCTTCTTTAAGCCAAGAAAAAATAAAAGTATCCCCCTACCTGAAATAACCTTTTTGTTGAAAGTGACTCTTTTTCTGTTCCTTCACACCTGATTTTTTTTTTACTTGAACTATCAGGTTGCCTGCTTGCAAAGCCTGACTTCTGAAGCTTGAAAAGGCCTCACAAAGGCTTTTGTACGGGACGTTAACGTTATTGGCAGAGCAGATTCCACAGTGCTAACTGACCGGCCAAGTGTGTCCTAATTAGCCGTTTTTTTTAAACAAAGTAGTGCCCCACTTCCTCACACTGATTAGAGTAATTGGTGAGATTTAATGGAGAGCAGGGTTAGCAGTGGGGTGGCCGGGGCCCACCACTGCGTGAAGCACATCTCACTAACGAGACACACTGGTAATTAACATCTCAGACTGACCGCAGCGGGCCGCTACAGGGCCTGCAGGGACGTGTGTGTGTGTGTGTGTGTGTGTGTGTGTGTGTGTGTGTGTGTGTGTGTGTGTGTGTGTGTGTGTGTGTGTGTGTGTGTGTGTGTGTGTGTGTGTGTGTGTGTGTGTGTGTGTGGTGGGTTGTGTGTGTGTGTGTGTGTGTGTGTGTGTGTGTGTGTGTGTGTGTGTGTGTGTGTGATGTGTGTGTGTGTGTGTGTGTGTGTGTGTGTGTGTGTGTGGTGTGTGTGTGTGTGTGTTGTGTGTGTGTGTGTGTGTGTGTGTGTGTGTGTGTGTGTGTGTGTGTGTGTGTGTGTGTGTGTGTGTGTGTGTGTGTGTGTGTGTTCAGACCTCAGACCTCGCCTTGTGTACTCTCCTTAAGTGACACTTGGCCGCATGGCAGATCAATTATCCACTAAAATAAAATGTTGTTTTTAGCTGCCCTCTCTGATTTACAGTTCCAATTCATCTCTGACCACACCCAACTTCTCCAATAGGTGTGGTCAGAAGTTTGCTTTGTTGGATCTGTTACCACACCCAACAAGGAAATCACTTGGTCCTGGAGAGCATCTACACCATGAGATCAGCAAAGATTTCAAGAGGGTTGCTTTTTGATGGTAACCATTAGAAAATTAGATGTATAGATTTAATGTTTCGCTAAAATAGAGGAAAGAAAATCCATCCAACCTTCTGTTATTGGTAGACTTGAACTATTAATAAAATACTTACATAGACAAAAAACACAGAGAATTATAACTTGACTGCACATCCGTCTTTTAGAGCATTGTTTTTACTTTAGCACCCAGTAATGATTTAGTTCATTCTGATGGCTCTCATTAGTGTTGGAGACACTGTTACATTCAGTAATTGCTGAAAACAATTAGAGAAGTGGACAGCACTCTAGTGGTCTGGAACCAGGCTATAGTAAGACGTATATCGAGCCAAACACAAGACATTTGATGCTTCCTGCATTCAAATGTGAGGATAATTTGATATAAACAGTTGAACAGATTAATTTAATTCTTATTTGCTGTCTTTAATTATGTTCTACATCTCATCAGGAGACATTTAAGTGAAGGAGAATACGTCTCAGTGTCAAGTTTGAAAACCTGTCTGTACGGGTTTTCCCAGTTAAGCTCATTCTGCAGCCATCTCCCTGTTTCTCTCCTTCAAATAATGATATATACGCCTTGCCTTCTTTGTCTGTCCTTGTTCTCTCCTCCCCCATACCCCCGCTGGCCAGCGATAAGACACATAGTGCATCCATATTGTTCCCCCAGTCGTAAACAAGACAGATGACAGCTTTTTGCCTCTGTGAGTTTTTGAATGATTTACGGCAGACTCTTGTATGCAGAATTTTAAAATCAATCTGCTTAATGTTGCATCTCGTTCTCTCTCAATTTCACCGTCTATGTTTCTACCTGCCTGCTTCTCTCTCTGAATGGCTGCAGGATCGTGCCATTCAATGTGAAGGCGTGTCTTTATCGCTGCCATTAGTTCCGCTGTGTTTGAGCCTGCAGACAAGCGTTATTTTGAAGGTCATTGATGACCAACGCAAGCCCCCTAAGAAGGCCGGATGATGGAGGACTCCACTTTGCTGCCACATACAGTAGACATAGCCGAGATATGTTTGTGTGTGTATCATCCATCCTGCTTGTTTAACATGTCATTGATGCACATGTGTTCTCGTGGGTTGCTCCTGCGATGACGGCTGCAAAGATAACACGCTAAGCTGTACAGATTTGAATCATTCGAGTGTGAATTTAGCACTTCTCAAATGTCCTCACAGCCAATGTCCATATCATTTAAGGCACAAGCTAATTAAAGATGGAGAAGATATAATGTAGCCGTATCTGGATACAGACTCCAGTGGTGCTGAGGGAGCAGTGGAGCGCTCTCTGGGGTTGTTTCTGCTGCTATCGATTTGGATAGATCTCCCCTCTGGGCCCCGTTTACCTCCAAGGCCTCAGGGCCCGAGAAAGCTTTTAATTGTTTGAATTCCTCTGTGAGAAGTTGGCCAAGTCAATAGAATTCTCTTAAAGTCCTTGGGAACATAGTTTTTCTTCGACTGGTTAAGGGTTATAGAATAAACTCACAATAGCGACTAGACGGGAATAAAGTTATGTGAACATAAATGTCTCTGAGTACAATGCACACGTCTAGACTTCCTCTCTTGTCCTTTTATCGTTCAGGGATGAAGCTAATTTCGTCCCGCACAAGCCACTTGCCGTTGAAAATATTGACGGCTAATGGTTAGAACATCTCTCCGTTGCTTATACAAGAATTACTGTGGATTAATTTCCACATTGTTTCAAGTTATTTTCGTCTAGTGCCATAATCCTGCATTGAATCGTGCGGGTTACGCAAGCAACGGGACGAGGTATTAATATTGCTTTCTTCATTTTAGTATGTCATTTCTGTTCAGTAAAGAAATAAATGTCAATGAAAGCTTGAATTTATACAGAATATAATTACATTTTTTAATTTGTAGAACTCATTAGAAGCTTTTTATTTTTGCATTATGGCTCAATGTTTTTCATTTCTAGTCAGTTTCTAGTCACTTTCCTTCAGTTAAATGCCTTTTTGTTCTTTTCCTTTTTGCTCCCTGTTTTGGAAAAATACACTTTTAAGGAACTTAAAGTGAGCTACAGTGACCTCCACCGTTTGAACAAGTGCTTTTTCTTTTTGTCAGTGTAATTGGTAACTGCACTTAAAACCAAAACACGCTTCATGCCCCAGCTAATGATTTGAATCCTCAAAAATTCATTACAGAACTGAGTCTAGACAGTCAGTCAGAATCCTTTTAGAAGTGATTATTATTTCTAGCATTTTTCTGAGGCAGTGATTATGAGTTTTTAATATGGATTGTTTTTCAGTGGCAGCTCAGCCCCCATGGGTGCTCCGTGTTCGCGGACCCTTCACTGTCTGTGTGATCTATCCTACGAGCGTGACACAGGGGTCACAAGCTCTCACCCAAATCCAATTTATGTAAATCCTTCAGGCGTCGCCATTTTTCATCATTATTTGTTCAGTGTGATATGCTGCTCTGCAATTGCTTTCATTCTGTATTAGACAAATGTATTTTCTAAGAAAAAGCAACACAGTTTATTGAGCTCTAATCAGTCCCATTATGCATCATTTATCATTTGACTTGTCAGCTTAATTTCAGTCTTCTTCTTCTTCCATTGTGGGAGCTGTTAGTTAATATGTCTTGTAGGGGGACTGACGACAGATTTGAAAACTCTTTCCCCTCACTCCTCTTATTTTCTATGCATCCAAACCTTTATATTTACACAAAACCCAGGTGTTTGACAGAACAACTACGCTATATACTGCGTGTGTCTGAATCTAATATAGGATGAAAGGAGAAAAATGTCAGAAATAGCCTAATTATTTCCGCAGCTTTTTCTCCATATGTGGCAGTTCATGCACCTCAATGTCTTTTATCTTTATCTGTGGCGAGTCAGTGACCCGAACCAGAAAGCAAATGTTTCTCCCCCACCTGATGTCACATACCCAGCTGACCCAGAAAGCCACGCAGGTTCTGGTCCAGGCTCTCGTCATCTCACGCCTAGACTACTGCAACTCCCTCCTGGCTGGTCAACCTGCATGTGCCATCCGACCTCTGCAGCTCATCCAGAATGCAGCGGCTCGTCTGGTCTTCAACCTTCCTACATTTTCCCACACCACTCCGCTCCTCCGCTCCCTTCACTGTAACTGCTAGAATCCACTTCAAGACAATGGTACTTGCGTACCATGCTGCGAATGGATCTGGCCTTTCCTACATCCAGGACATGGTTAAACCGTACACCCCAGCACGTGCACTCCGCTCTGCATCAGCCAAACAGCTCGCTGCACCCGCACTGCGAGGGGGACCCAAGTTCCCATCAGCAAAAACACGTGGGTTTGCTATCCTGGCTCCAAAATGGTGGAATGAGCTCCCCATTGAAATCAGGACAGCAGATAGCTTACACATCTTCCGGCGCAGACTGAAAACTCATCTCTTTCGACTCCACCTCGAGCGATAGAATTACTAACAAAGCACTTATATACTAATAAAGGACTGGCTTTTCTAAAGCCAGTTGAGTAGCACTTGAAATGTTTTTGCTCTATGAAACCTGATGTACTTATATGATTTTGTTTTCTTCAAGTTTGTATTTTGTTGGTCGAACGCACTTATTGTAAGTCACTTTGCAATGTAATGTAATGTAATACACGTGTTTCTAAAAAGACATCAGAGTTGAATCTCTGGTCTGTAATGATCATCCCTGCACCATGTTTTTCTTTCACATCAGGTGCGTGTTGGGGAAGTTGGTGGCAACACTCTGGGTTTCTACGGCTGCCAGATGAGTCCAGATGGCTCCATGATCGCTGCTCATGCTTTTCATGGAGCGCTACATCTCTGGTGCAAAGACCAAGATGAAAAGGTATGTCTCTTTTACTCTTAACCTTTCAAATGTATAACGCCAGTATTTCTGTTATTTGAGACTATCCTTGTTATTATAATGTGTTTGATATAAGATTCAGTGTTAGAGCATTGCTTCACGGTGACGTTTTATTCACAACATAAGGTTCAGAGATAACTGCATTTCAATTACGCCGGATCAAAATGTCAGTTTAAAGTTCAGCACATGCCTGAAGGTGTTAATAACGTTTCAAATAGAGATTGTCTTTTCAGTCAGCAACACATTCATTATTATCACCCTCTCTCCCGTAGTGTCATTCTAATGATGGAAATGATGCTTATGTTAAAGGGAATTGACACAAGAAATCATTTGGAATGTGTTAACTGACCAATGCAATGCTGTCTGACAGGGACAATGGAGGCCTGGGGTTGTGATATCGGGCCACTTTAATGCGGTCCAGGACCTGAGCTGGGACCCTGAGGGGGAGTTCATCCTCAGCGTGGGCTCGGACCAGACCACCAGACTCTTCACCCCATGGAGGAAACAAGATGATAAACAGGTCCTGTAAATGAAAAAAGAGACACAGCTGACTATAATTAAACAGTATTTTTAAATGTTTTAGCGCAACATTAGGAATTTGATTTAAATAACCAGATGGTAAGTATAATAATATTTTATCACATTGATGCAAATACATCTAATATGACCATAAGGCAGTCCTGTGTCGTGATGCAACATTACCCACAGTCCTAATGCACCTAAAGACATTAAAGAGAGTCTCACTCTGGTATAAACAGCACAGCTCAATCTCACAGGAGAAATACTATCTTATACTTCACTTTATAAGGTGATATATAAGGTTATAAGGATTGTTAATCTAACGCACACATCACAGTTTATTTTCATGAAAGAATAAGAAACATTGAAACAATTGGAGTTAACACTGCTACTGGTGATTTTCTCCTTTATACTGTAAAATGAAGTTGTAGTTCTGACGAAGAGCCATTCCACATTTCTGTATTCATCCTGAGACGATATAAAGACAGGTTTCACACACCTGGCCTCAACATGTCCACCTAAGGATTCAGGCCTCTCTATTTCTTCCTCTCTCCTGTGAGCAATAGTTACTTAGTATGCTGCTCTCAGGGTTTCCCACACATAGACAATACTTGGGCGGGCCGCTCAGGTATATTAACGGCCGCCCAAGTATATTTCGCGACCCATTTCGTTTTTGTTTTTTTTATACGTTTTTTTGTATTCGTCCGTGACCACGACGCCATCTGCGATTGATTAACTTGTGGACAATGATCCCTCGATCTACGCCTCCTGTACCCAGTCCCGGACTGGCCATCGGGAGGACCGATGCTGTTAAGTGGCCTGCACAGGGTGACTGGCTGTCTACACGATGTGGCCTGCCGACATGGCCACTGTCATACAGATCATAAATCAAAGCCCTTGATTGGTCTCTGTGTGTCATTCAAGCTCGGGATAACCTCAGCTCAGGTGAGGTAAAGGACTCTCTGAGTGTTTAGATAGTTAACTTAGTCTAAGTTCTCAGTGGGTCTCAAACGGTTTGGTCGCCATTTATGTAAACACATATTTCCATTTGAGAGGGTAGTGATTAGTAAAATATGCATGAATAAATAAATAAATAGTTAACTAGGTGAAAAAAGGTAAGATACACTTTTAAAACTTGTTGAGAGCTAAAACTAATCTTTGCTGCTGCCTCAAAGAGGAGCAGGGGAGAGAGGAGGGAGACAGGAGAGGCTGGTTCAGGAGCACAGACACACTCACGACTATAAATGAACCAAAAATAAATAAATAAACAAGTTTCAGTGTTTTTTCATATTGATATGGTATGTTATTGGTTATGGCCATGATTTTATGATTATTGAAATGTATACAGTTCTGTTTCATATAGGTGTTTCCATAGATCTAGTCCCTTCAAAATGCACCAGATTGATGCATTTAAGGCCCAATCCCAAATCGCCCCCTACACCCTACCCCTACACACTACCCATCCGTTCGCGCGGAGGGTCCGCCACATTAAGTGCTGTTCCAAACCAACGAGTGTGGAGCGGTGTGGAGGGGGAGTGGGCTATCAAGCCCTCAAACAGCGAGTCTGCAGCGGTGCTGACTTGAGACCAGTCTCTACCTGACCGGGGTCAACGCTGTGTGTGTCCGTCAGGAAACACGCTGTTTACAAACACAATTAAAGATGTTTGGAGTTTTATTTGAGTTATTAATTTACATTTTTTTGTCAAAGAGATGCTGATTTGAAACCGTTGTTACATACAGTTACGGCATTTCCTGTTTCTGCCGGAGAGAGGGGAGTTTGTCCCAAAGCTTGCCGCTGTATTTATACCCTTAACCCTTAATGGAGGGAACTTCATTCAGCTGCGAGTGTGGCTACAGACGGAGTTCACTCCATCATGGAGGGGTAGGGTCGAGGGGGTGATTTGGGATTGGGCCTAACTCAAAAATAAAAATAAAAAATCTTACCGGGGGAGCATGCCCCCGGACCCCCCTAGAGGATTTGAGGTCCACCCCCACTTAAAATCACATGGACAGGTTCCTAAATACATTTACCATTTTAAAAAAAAAAATAGTAACCCATGTTCATATGTTTATGTGTGGGAAGTAGATTTAAACTATAGGGCTTTCACTATGGGCCCTGCCTGTACCTGTTCGCTCTGCCATCGTGTGAAGGGTCTGCTAACAAGCGACCAACAGAAAGGTTAATGTTAATGTTGTTGCACGTCACCTCTCTATTGAGTTTAGTTTGCAACATAAGCTGAAAATAATTGTTTTCATTTGAACTGTTACTGGATAATCAATTTAGTTTTTAACTTGGTTGCAAACGCCTGGATTTAGGGCCCAGAAATCCTGTTCCACAACATCAGGCATAAAATGAAATGCTGGCACAACCCCATGCAGCGTGTTGCGATCCCCGTGTCCAGATTTGCATCTTTCCTATATATTCTCATGCCTTATTCACCCTGCAGGCAACCTGGCATGAAATCTCCCGGCCGCAGATCCATGGATACGACATGCAGTGTCTGGCCATGGTGGGAAGGTTTCAGTTTGTGTCGGGAGCCGATGAGAAGGTCCTGCGAGTGTTTCAAGCACCTCGAAACTTTGTGGAAAACTTCGCTAACATCTCTGGGACGTCAAAAGAAAAGCTGTTGACATCTAGTGTGAGTGTCAAATGAAATGACCATCATTATATATTTAAGTTATGTTCACTCACGTAGAAATAGTCAAGAACTATGTTTACCCTCTCTCCAAAGATCAGTTCTCTCTCTTTCACTTTGATTAACAGCTGTAAAATGTGCTGAGTGGATCTCCCACCCCTACATGGTTATTGATGTGTTTGTCTCTCGGTCCGTTCATTCATCTTGTCAGGACGCTGCCAACCTTCCAGAAGGAGCCAGCACACCTGCCTTGGGTCTGTCCAACAAGGCCGTATTTCAGGGTAAGAACTTGCTTACTTTTGCCCTTTTTTTTGTATCCTAAAGTTTTATCTGAGCTCCAAACGGTAGTTCTGGGTCTTATTTTAATCAAATGTTGTTTGTATTTTTTTTAGCTCATATGATGTAGTGTAATATATAAATGTTACAACTTATTTACAGATGTGTCATATTGTTCTGCAGGTGACCTTGCCCACAAAAGCAACGAAGGGGAGTTCAACAGTGTATCTGATCAATACCAGTCTGAGTCTTACTTCAACCCGCTCATCATGACAGGTACTGCAAAAACAACACTCTCAAACAAGTGTTTTTCCAGCATAGCAAGGTCATTTCTGAGATTTCGCAGCAAACCCTCATTTAATTTAAACCTCCTTGATAAATAGTTTTCGAGGCGAAATGCATCCCTGTCTCCTCCACAGTCCGATAGCCTGATTCATATTCTGCATCGCCCTCCAATCAGCAGCCTCAATCAGCTCACAATATAAGATTTCCAGCCAGCCTGTCGCTAGATGTTCTTATAAGAGACAATTATGAGCGGCCAGACGGACAGTTAGTCATTGGGGCTCTCACCATGCTATACTCCCACAATGCCTGAGGTCTGCTGGGGGCCGATGGTATTACAGCAGGTGACCGTAAGCGTGAGTAGAAGTAAAAAAAATGTGTATTTGTTTATTCAACACATGGCAGTTATTTTAAAACAAAACATGTACACTTAACAAAACATGTACACTTTTTTTATAGTGCATGGTGGAAAGGAGCAGGGAGAAGAACATCTTATTTTATCTGCCCCTTCTTAAAAAAAATTAAATAAATGAAATAACCATAAAAAAGTAAAATAAAAGCAATATTCTTTCAGTCACAGTTGCTTACAAATACTGAAACATAAAACCAGAACACAATCAAAAGTCAACTTCATACTGTCTAATAACGCTTTCTTTATACATTTTCTTAAACATTAAAATGTTCTTACAGCCTTTTAAATCATTCGGCAAAGATATCCACTTCTTTACTCCAACTTCAGAGACACACATCTGCTTTAAAGTTGTACGTGCAAACTGATGCTTGAAACTCAATTTTCTCCTAAAATAAGATTATTTCGAACGGGAAGGGCATTGAATTCATATGTATCAAGGACACAGAGGTACATGGAGGAATGAGAGTACAAGAAACAAATGCAGGATAGATAAACTAGTGGATGAAACTAGCAGATGGGAAATGGATTGTCAAATAGAGAAAACGTAGCGCTTTAAAACCCCTGGGCTAGAGGGTGTCAAGTGCTGTCATCAACATGATTGAAGCCACTCATAATCTGCAATGCTAATTAGAAAGCAGGCTTATGTGATTGCAAAGTTTAAGTATCGATGACCCCGGGCTATGGAGGGAGCAACCAAGTGCGGAGGCTGTTGTTAACAATGCATTTTCCCTCGTTTGATTGGCTTCCGCAGGCAAAGAGACAGATTAATAATTAGGCAATTTGGGAAGGCGATGACCAACAAGAAGAACACAACGAGTGTAGCTCTCGGTTATATGCAGCACAGAGACGTGTGCAGAGAGGATTGGCACCGGCTAGATTTGGTCCACCTCAAAGCCAACAGCCGTTAAGATCTCCGATAAAGCTGCTGCTGTTTCAAAATCTTTTTTGGCAAAAGGCGTCGCAGGGCTGAAGATTTCATGCAAGCTAAATGCTAAAAGAGTCTGTATATAAATGTGAGGGAACATTGTCTTCATGATATTAATCGTGTTCTAGGTGCACCGTGTAGTCTTTAGTTTGTCTCGTTTGTCTTCTCTTTCTTCTTCTTTGATTTGTAAGCCTGTCACATACACACATTCAGGATCCTATCTGTCGCACTTTTGGTTAACAGAACAGGGATTTAGAAAAGGGAAATTATAATAGCTACTTTGGTGTAATCCTCATTTTATAAATTGGAAACTGCTTGTATTTGAATTTATAAAAAGGCACAGTTTTCAGGGCCTGCCAAATGATAGTTATGTAAGGGTTTGGAGTTAACTGTGTGTCTGTTTTGTGTGTGTGTGTGTGTGGGCGCGTGTGTGTGTGTGTGTGTGTGCGCGTGTGTGTGTGCGCGTGTGTGTGTAGAGCCCCCACCCGAAGATCATCTTCTCCAGAACACACTGTGGCCTGAGGTCCAGAAACTGTGAGTATCCACATGTCTCTCTGCTAGCAGCAGCTTGGGAACCTGCTGGAACAAACAATATCCTGAGACGTAAAACAACCTCGACTACAGATTTACTTTATATATACTTCCCTTTTCTAGAAGAGATCGTGTTTTTTGCATCACTCTTAATGAAGCAGCATTTCCAGATAAATTGTGTTTATCTAGTTTTGCCCAAAGGGTTTATTCTCACTGAAAATGATGGAATTCACAAAGCCCTGGTTCTCTCCTTCCTTGTATCAGCCAATCAGAATCCAGCTTCCTGCCATCCCATGAGCCTCTTCTCTAGGCTGAATATATTGCCTCCATTTGTGGCCAAGGCTAAATCTATTTCCCTGTCAATTTGCTATAAACATAACATATGGCGCGATGGTTTATTCGAGGTGTGGGCATTGTGCCTTTTTCTTTTACCTCCATTTGGCTTCAGCCCCCTGAATCATTTAGTGCATAATAGAAACATTCAAATGAGTAAGTGGCTGAATTATTTTTGTGGCATAAATAATACACTCAGCGTTGGGGCTAAATTGCTGCAACGCTTCGCAGATGGGGAGGAACTTCCAGGCTGTGATTTCCCTTTGTTGACATTTGAAAACAAGCAGGTGATAGTCGGCAAGCTAAAAGTAATTATGCTGCCGGTGATTACCCGCAGCATCATCGTTGTTCATCTCTGTCAGCAGGAAAGGACCAGTCATTGCAGATCAGTGTTTTAATTTCACACTCTGTCTGCTTATTTACCTGTCAGCGAGCGGCGATGGCTCAAATCTAGACGCTTGTCGGGGTGACGCTTTGGAATAACAGGAAACTTAATTTGCTGTCACACTCGCTGCGCTCTCTTTGCTGTTGTCGTCCTCCCTTCATTCGTCTGTCTTTCACATCCCATCTGTCCTTCACATATTTAGAACGGCTGTTATCCTGCGTCCTGTCGGTGATTAATGTATCTATGATTGTCCTCCGTCTCCTCCAGATACGGCCACGGATTTGAGATGTTCTGCCTGGCCTCAGACAGCGGCAGAGCGCTGGTGGCATCTGCATGCAAGGTCAGTGTGATCGGAGCGAGGCCAGAGAGCACGTACTCAGTAACAGGCATTAGATCAGAGAGGAGGGGCATCATGACATATTGACTCTGCATGCTCATATCCACACTACCACAGAGCGGGGTTAGGCTGCTCTCAGTCAGGTATTGATGGTACCAACATGACCTTAAAGCAGACAAGCACAGAGCTATTAGCCATCACAGTTATGTTTTTTTGTGGCATACAATATCTCTCTTTCTTCCTCTCGCATCCACTTTCTCCACCTGCATTCCTCCTCTTTCGATCTGTCCTTCTCGCTTTCCTTTTCACCTCTTTGCTTTATTCCTTTCCCACCTCTGAATTACGTTTCCTTTATATTCCCTGCTGTGGCAATCCTCCATTCCTCAACCCATCTCCTACGCCTTGTTTATTTTCCAACAGGCATGCAAGCTCATTTTGTAAATTTTTTAAAACAGAAGTTGTTTTCAGGAGGAAGTCAAAAGCAAGAAGAAAGACAGAGAAGATAGGATAAAGTCAAAAACTAACAAAACTCAAGCTGCTTTTGAAAAGTAATGCGTTTTTTATTATCTAAATCCTCTCTCCAGGCGTCCAAAGCGGAGCATGCGGGCGTTCTGCTGTGGAGCACGGCGACATGGCGCCAGCTGCAGACGCTGCCCTGCCACACCCTCACCGTCACCCAGATGGCCTTCTCCCCGGATGCTCAACTCCTATTGGCTGTTTCCCGGGATCGCACCTGGTCTTTATGGAGACGGAACCCGCCCACAGCTGAGAGTCCAGGTGAGAAACAGGAAGGAGTTGTGGACATTAAGAGGATCTATCATGAGGGGTTGTTTATGTTGCAGTGCTGCTAAGCATGAGGTAGCATTTCAGCATGCTGGTGGCCAATACATTTCGCTTAATTAAAAATGTGTTTGAGTGAATCTCAAAACAAAGAGACAACATTGGAGCCTAAATGGCAAACAACACCAGCACGCCTAAAACTAATTAATTAAAATAAGGTAAACTGCGTTTGACACTGTTGACCACAACATATTACTCGACCGACTAGAAAACTGGGTGGGACTTTCGAAAACAGTTCTAAATTGGTTTGAATCCTACTTAAAGGACAGAAACAACTTTTGTTTCTATAGGTAAATACACATCTGAGTTGACAAATATGACATGTGGGGTACCTCAAGGCTCCATCTTGGGGCCTCTTCTCTTTAACATCTACATGCTACCACTGGCTCAGATAATGAAAAACAACAAAATAAGTTACCATAGCTATGCGGATGACACAAATCTACGTAACAATTTCACCAGGAGACTATTCTCCAATTCAAACACTGAGTAAGTGCATTGAACAAATCAATGACTGGATGTGTCAGAACTTTCTCCAATTAAACAAAGATAAAACTGAGGTAATGGTTTTTGGAGCCAAGGCAGAACGTATAAAAGTTAGCGCTGAGCTTCAGTCTGCAATGTTCAAAACAACAGATAAAGCCAGAAATCTAGGTGTAGTCATGGACTCTGACCTGAGTTTCAACAGTCACATTAAAACAGTTACTAAATCAGCCTGCTATCACCTAAAGAATATATCTAGGATTAAAAGACTAATGTCACAGCAGGATTTGGAAAAACTTGTCCATGCTTTTATCTTCAGTAGACTCGACTACTGCAATGGTGTCTTTGCAGGTCTCACTAAAAAATCTATTAGAAAGCTGCAGCTAATTCAGAACGCCGCTGCTCGAGTCCTCACTGACACTAAGAAAGTGGATCACATCACTCCTGTTCTGAAGTCTTTACACTGGCTTCCTGTGTGTCAAAGAATAGATTTCAAAATACTGCTGCTGGTTTATAAAGCACTGAATCGTTTAGGCCCAAAATACATTTCTGACCTCCTGCTAAATGATGAACCATCCAGATCTCTCAGGTCTTCAGGGACTGGTCAGCTTTCTGTCCCCAGAGTCAGAACTAAACATGGTAAAGCAGCGTTCAGTTATTATGCTCCAAATATCTGGAACAAACTCCCAGAAACCTGCAGGTCCGCTGCAACTCTGACTACTTTTAAATCCAGACTAAAGACTTTTCTTTTTGTCGCTGCTTTTAATTGAACTATTCACATCTTAAACTGCACCGTAACTTTTATCCATGTATTTTTTCTTTTAATGTTTATTTTATTATCTTTTCTTTTTAATGACTGATTTTAAATGCCATTTTCTTAATGTCTTTCGTTTTTTGTAAAGCACTTTGAATTGCCTTGTGTTGAAAGGTGCTATATAAATAAACTTGCCTTGCCTTGCCTTGCCTAAACCCACTGAGCAGATTTGTTCCAAATCAAATTCTACGTCAAGTTGGCCTGATTAGAAGGACTCCCCTAATTAATCCTGAGAAGAGCCAAACCAGTGATGCGCTGACTGAAACCGGTCCAAAAAAAGGAAGATTAATAATTAAAAACACATTTTCTCTTCATATTTATCTAAATTGACTAAAACATCACCAACTTCCCTTCATGACACACTTACAGTAAACTCTTTATTGCACGTTATACTTGGATAGTATGTGCAGAGATATTTGTAATGTGCAACACTAACTACACAGAATACAACAAATGCCTTCCTGTAAACTTTTTGGTGGTGTAGTGGCTTGTCTGTTGGCTTGTTTTCTGTAGCCTTATTTTGAAAGATTGTCACTTTTTTAGTCCGTTTGCTTGACCTTTGGCTTTTTTCAGACTTAACTCAGTTGTGGTGACATTAATGGCTAGCGGTACAGATCTGTTTCTGGAAGGTCACTGCTGTCAGTGTCCACATGGACTGAGGAATTAAATGAATCCAATGAGAGAGACAAATAGATCTAGAGCCAATCTTTAAATACTACTGTGGAGCTGGACTTCTTTTATTATAGCCTACCGTTTGTATTTGATTCTAACTTTTAAAAGGATCTTCTTCTCATTTTGTATGTTGGAACCAACGACGACCTCATACTCACGCAATGTAAATGATGTATGAAATGTCTTTTATAATCGGATTCCTTTGATCTACCTGCTCTCCCAGCCTGAGAATGTGTTATCTGCTAAAGCTCGGTTCTCTTTTTGTTTCAGTTTCGGACATTTTCTTATATGGTATAATATTCTTAGGATATTTTATGTTTATTAGAGATTTCACAAATGAAATAACCCTTTTTTTTTTTCAGCATGCATTTCTTTAATCATTTGATCACTTGAAAACAACAATTAAATGTTGCTCTTACACTTTGCTCGAAGTAGGAGTTCTCTTATTCGAGCACTTAAGTGTAATTCTTAGAGATTTGATAAAATAGGTCCAGTTTGATCAATAAGACACGGTTTCTTTGTCTGTTCTGATTACATAAAAACAGTTAAAAACCTCCCAAACACTGATTTGTTCTTCTGATGTCCTGAGTCGGTGAAGAAAGAATGGGATCTGTTCGTCCCCACGTTCAATTCACCTCCTGCAGGGCCAGTGTTGTAAACAAGAGCGTGTTCCTGGAGAGTTTATTTATGTGAGAGAACCTCTGCGCCTCGACTCCGACAGATAACCCGATCCTGCTTCCAAGGTGAGCAGAACAGGACATTTAAGCCCCAAGGATTACCTCCCTGCTAACCGTCTCACAGCTCTTTTGGCAGGAGGGTCCTAACGGGCGCAGGCAGAGGAGAGGCAGCCCTGAACTCCGTCTGCCTCTACAGGGGTCCGCTCAGAGGCAGGGAGGCTGTTTGTGAGACAGGGAGGGAGGGGGGGCACGTCTGTTCTGGTTGGCTGCTGAATCACTCAAGGTGATTGTCACCCACAGACTCACAGTCCAGACCAGGGAAGGTTAAATTAAGTCAGAGCTGATCAAACAAACCGCCTGCCTCCATTCTCACCTCTTCTGTGTCTCTTCTTTTCATCTGACCACGTCCCTTCCTCTTCCTCGGGGGTCACACACCCAGACGTCTAAATTATGTAGACCCTGTTACCTTCCTCTCCTTTTTTTTGTGACGCATTGTATCGAACCTGTATCCTTTTTAATGTGCTGCTCTCTAATCTTCTGGGATATATTTGTATTGTTGTTACTCCTACCTTGTCGGTCGCTGGTCTTCATCTCTGCGCACTGAACAGCCCATCAACCCCCCCCCAGGTCCTCAGATGAGAGTGTTAATGAGAGGAGCTGTAACACCTGTGTGTCCCAAACACCACACCTACAAACGGAGCGTTTTGCAGAGAGTGTTGTGAGCACAGAGACACGACACGGTGGTTAACTCTGACTTTGTGGGGACCCTGTGGTTTTGCGGCTCGGTTGTGTGTGTGTGTGTGTGTGTGTGTGTGTGTGTATGAGAGCGAGTGGAGAGAGAGCACTGCTGCAGACAAGCAGACAGGCGGCTGCCACCAGCATACAAACAATCTCCCTGGGGAAAACTAATCTGGGGTCTGAAATGACTTAGGCCGGGGAAATAAACAGCAGCAGGTCATAAACCAAAAGTGAGTGAAATGGAGGGCTGCAACGAGGTTCCCTGTCTTGTTTGGTTGTTTATTTGTCGCCAGGGAGAGCCTTTGTTGCTACACAGCAGTTGGTAGGGATCAGACATGATGATGTCATGCTACAATAATCACGACACAACGTTTTCACTGCCCGCTCATCTGTCATCAAGAGGAAGTGTCGGAGAAGTGTGATTAAAGCTCTGCTGTGTTGGGGCTGATTCAAGCTTTTTGTGACTTCCTTCTTTCTCTAATCCCTGTACTGGTTTGTGTTTGTTTCCATGCAGAGCCCCGGTTCTCACTACATGCACACACAGAGAAGGACACAGCCGTACACAGCCGCATCATCTGGTCATGTGACTGGAGCCCAGACAGCAAATACTTTGTGACATCCAGTCGGGACAAGAAGGTCAGGCTTTGCTTTTAAGATGATATGGTGGCACATTGAAGTGGTGATGCAATGATTGCATTTTTTGTTGAGAGCAACCATTTCATTTTAAATGCTCATAAAAGATGTGTGTGTGTGTGTGTGTAGGTGATAGTGTGGGGGCCGTGCGGGTCAGAGGAGTCAGACGCTCCTCTGTCTCCTGAGATCAAACCCTGTTCCTCCATCTTGGATGTGGGAGATTCTGCTACTGCTGTGGCTTTCTGCCCCACACTCTGCTCTAATAACAGGTACACACACACACACACACACACACACACACACACACACACACACACACACACACACACGACACACACAACAATTATATTTCTTTATCTTTTTAATATGGCAAACTTGTAATTGTATTGTTGTCTGTTTCATAGCACCTTAGAACATTTGTAAAACGTTTGGCTGAACCTCTGAAAAAAGGAATAAAAACAATTTTGAAGTGATTGTTATTATTTGTTAAATTTATCAAGCTGACTTTGTGCTGACTTTTGGTTTCTTCCTCAGCTTCCTGCTTGCAGTGGGGCTGGAGAGCGGCAGGATCTTGCTGTACAGGTGGAGCCCTGACCTGGGGTCTGCTGGAGGAAACGACTGGAAACACTGTGGAGGAACAGACATCTCGTATCCTTACACACACACACACACACACACACACACACACACACACACACACACACACACACACACACACACACACAGTGCCTCTGAAGTTGAAACTTTGAAAGTCCTTCAATGGCCATGGGCAGCAGATGTAAATGACAATGTGTCAGTAACAAAACTGTGGCTTCAGTTTGATGGCGGAGTGTATTATGGAGAAAAAATGCAGCGCAATGCTACATTTAATTGGCTGCGTTCATTTGAGCTGGGCAGCAGTTAGGGGGTGAGGCATCGACAGGTGGTCGTGTGTATTTCTGTGTGTCCAACATGTGAGAGTGAGTCATCATCTGTACAGCTCAGGAAGTAAATTAAAGAGGTATTTTGGTTGTTTTTAAGTATCAGAAGGCTGCTCTATACCCAATTTTTGTTGCTCACATTGTGTTACATATCTTGGAATTGTTTCGGAGACATTGGAGATGGTGCTATACTAAAGTACTTGTAGCAGGTAGTAGTATTTGTCTGGATTTTGTCCTGTTTTTCCTTCATTTCACAAACTTTCCCAGACAAAGCCACGCGCTGACGGTGAAGAGGCTCCGCTGGAGGCCCCGGGCCGGGCGAGCAGGGCGAGAGAACCAGGAGGACGGAGCGAGTGAGGGAGAGAGGGAGGAAGAGGAGGAGAGCTCCTGGGTCCAGCTTGCCAGCGCCAGCGCCGACCACTCTGTCAAGATCTTCAACATCAACAAACGGGCTCTTTAGCACCACCAACAGTGACACTATTATGTCCCTCACATGCAGACAGACACTTGGACCGAGGACCACAGGCCACAGCTGCAAGCCTCTCACTCTCTGTGACAGCCAGTTAAGTCATGGGTCAGTCGCAGGACCAACCAACCCCCCCCCCACCAGTCTGTCTGCACACAGCTGAGCAGATCTGATGGGTGGAAGCAAGACGGCAAAAACATCATGACCCCGGGTGGTCTTTCCCTTCATAGTGTTTCAGATTCAGAGAGGACCACGCTGCTGGATCTTCACACAGATGACATATTTATCCAAGCTAACATTATACAGGGACTCTTTTCAGTAACAAATCACAAAGGTGTACTATGATTTGGTTGCATGACAAATTAATTAAATGTTTTTTATATCTAAGATTTGTCTTGGGTCTCTGAATGAAGCTACAATGGTACCTGTGTTACATGGTTTAGCACAAGTACTAAAGACTTGTAATTACAGGTAATAGATTTGGACATCATAGACGTAGCTGTATTTAATTTTTTGATATTGGCTGCAGGGGTCTCCATTTATTTCTGTATGAGAAACACTGCTGACTTGGGGAAAATAAGTGTTAAAGCTAACTTCAAGTCTGCATTAATTTTAACATCTTTTTTTTACCTAGCAAGTTATTGTTATGACATAATGCAGCGCATACTACTCAAATCAATATGCAATTATACAAATTGAACCTAAAAATACTTGTGGTGATGAATTACTCGTCTTAAAATCTACAGAAATTGCTTCCATAATGCATGGAAATTAGTAAGAATCAGTCAATAATGTACATTTTCATTAACAAAAGGGAAACAATAATTCCCAGTTGCATATGTCTGGTTTAGACCAGTTCAACCAGGTGAAATTATCAACAAGTCCTCCAACTCATATGACCAAATGGGCCGATTGTTTAAGCCCTTATTACGACCAAATATGTCGTTTGTTCAAGCGCTTAATACGTTCTATAATTACGTTTTAAAGATTTCGCCCTCTAGTGCTCCCGTTGAATGCAAACGTTACAGATGGTCGTTTATTCACAAATAACCCTCTCTGTAAAATCCTAAATTGTAGGATAGTTTGGCTATTAAACGCTTTTTGATTAGATTTCTAGCGAGAAGTGTATATTGTAGGCCTACTTTTAGAATCCTCATCCAGTCGATATGTAGGATCTATAGTTTGATATATATTACAAGATGATTTGAGGTATGCAGCAGCCTCCATGTAAAGTTACGGGTTGAAAACAGTATTTCCGGTATCGACGTTTTCATAATAAAATCAATGATCAAATGATTTAACAGTGATATCTTCAGTACTCATCAACTAAAAAACATCAGTTTATCCCAAGCGGCAAACTCTGGGCCACTTCCGGGATGCGAATCAGGAAGTGCCTCAAACTGCAGTTCATCTAGTGGCCAGTAGGAGCAGTCTGCAGAAGGGAGCAATTTCCATAGACCCCAATGTTAAAATGCCCAACTTTACAGCAGAAATAAACATGTTTACATCGTAGTTTCAAAACATTTTATTCTCCGTATAGTTAGATTCCCCCTTCTTGTCTATGGATCCTGGAGTGAATTTTTTCTCAACTCATCTGTTTGTGTTTCCCTGACCAATGAGTGGTCCATATTAAGAAATGGACACAACAATTACCTGGCATTTATACACTGAACAAAAATATAAATGCAACACTTTTGTTTTTGCTCCCATTTTTCATGAGCTGAACTCAAAGATCTAAAACATTTTCTATATACACAAAATAACCATTTCTCTCAAATATTGTTCACAAATCTGAACAAATCTGTGATAGTGAGCACTTCTCCTTTGCCGAGATAATCCATCCCACCTCACAGGTGTGGCATATCAAGATGCTGATTAGACAGCATGATTATTGCACAGGTGTGCCTTAGGCTGGCCACAATAAAAGGCCACTCTAAAATGTTCAGTTTTATCACACAGCACAATGCCACAGATGTCGCAAGTTTTGAGGGAGCGTGCAATTGGCATGCTGACAGCAGGAATGTCCACCAGAGCTGTTGCCCGTGAATTGAATGTTAATTTCTCTACCATAAGCCGTCTCCAAAGGCGTTTCAGAGAATTTGGCAGTACATCCAACCGGCCTCACAACCGCAGACCGCGTGTAACCACACCAGCCCAGGACCTCCACATCCAGCATGTTCACCTCCACGATCGTCTGAGACCAGCCACTCGGACAGCTGCTGCAACAATCGGTTTGCATAACCAAAGAATTTCTGCACAAACTGTCAGAAACCGTCTTAGGGAAGCTCATCTGCATGCTCGTCGTCCTCATCGGGGTCTCCGGTTCGTCGTCGTAACCGACTTGAGTGGGCAAATGCTCACATTCGATGGCGTCTGGCACGTTGGAGAGGTGTCCTCTTCACGGAGGAATCCCGGTTTTCACTGTTCAGGGCAGATGGCAGACAGCGTGTGTGGCGTCGTGTGGGTGAGCGGTTTTCTGATGTCAATGTTGTGAATCGAGTGGCCCGTGGTGGGGTTATGGTATGGGCAGGCGTATGTTATGGGCAGGCGTATGTTATGGACGACGAACACAGGTGCATTTTATTGATGGCATTGTGAATGCACAGAGATACCGTGACGAGATCCTGAGGCCCATTGTTGTGCCATTCATCCACGACCATCACCTCATGTTGCAGCATGATAATGCACGGCCCCATGTTGCAAGGATCTGTACACAATTCCTGGAGGCTAAAAACATCCCAGTTCTTGCATGGCCAGTATACTCACCGGACATGTCACCCATTGAGCATGTTTGGGATGCTCTGGATTGGCGTATACGACAGCGTGTTCCAGTTCCTGCCAATATCCAGCAACTTCGCACAGCCATTGAAGAGGAGTGGACCAACATTCCACAGGCCACAATCAACAACCTGATCAACTCAATGCGAAGGAGATGTGTTGCACTGCGTGAGGCAAATGGTGGTCACACCAGATACTGACTGGTTTTCGGACCCCCCCAGACCCCCCCAATAAAGCAAAACTGCACGTTTCAGAGTGGCCTTTTATTGTGGCCAGCCTAAGGCACACCTGTGCAATGATCATGCTGTCTAATCAACATCTTGATATGCCACACCTGTGAGGTGGGATGGATTATCTCGGCAAAGGAGAAGTGCTCACTATCACAGATTTTTTTCAGATTTGTGAACAATATTTGAGAGAAATGGTTATTTTGTGTATATAGAAAATGTTTTAGATCTTTGAGTTAATCTCATGAAAAATGGGAGCAAAAACAAAAGTGTTGCATTTATATTTTTGTTCAGTGTAGGACAGCAAGCCTATCAAACATTTGCCAAAAGCTCGTTGCCTTTTTCCCTCCTCGTGGAACTTCTGCATTGCATTTGTTAATACAAATAGCAAGCGAACTATCTAACTCTGAAACTTTGAAATAGTCCCATACTACCGACGACATGTTTGTTTACTGTCCTGGCTTCACGGCCGCACACCATTTACGTCACAGCCAGGCATGAGTTAGGGAGCGCTGGATTTGTGAAAAAATCCCCTCTTCCTAAACCACTAATACCACAGTACTGGCAAAACGGGAGGAGCCGAGTGAAAAACAAGCGCCCCTCATCCCAATCCACCCACACCGCAGTATTTTTTTCTTTTTTTTTACCCAAAAAATATATTGTATATTATCAGGGCTATTAATACTTTTATCGGGTTTATCGGGATGACGTCATAATTCCTAATATCAGACCGATAATTATTGGGCCGATAATTATCGTGCACCACTAGTTTTCACCCACGCTAACTTTACATGGAAGCTGCGTACACGTTATCCTGGCGAGACCTCAAATCATCTTCGTAATATCTATCAAACTATAGATCCTACACATCGACTGGACGTGGATATTAAGAGTACAACATACACTTCTCGCCAGAAATCGAATCAAAAAGCATTTTAATGGCCAAACTATTCCACAATTTAGGATTTTCCAGAGAGGGTTATTTGTGAATAAACATCCCTCCGGAGCGTTTGCAATGAACGGGCCGGGAGCATGTTGTTTGTTACACGACCACTAGAGCACCTCTAGTGGTCGACCACTAGAGCACCTCTAGTGGTCGTATAAGAAACAACATACACTTTAAAACGTGTCTCTGGGTCGTAATAAGGGCATGAACAATCGGCCTATATGGTCGTTTTTTGTAGGAGGACAGGCTGGAAATTATCCAGTAAATCATATGGGGGAGAAGGTGATCAAATAAAATACTGATTGATTTTATCCTGTAATCCTCGTGTGTCTTCTCGAAAACTACATTAATTTGAAAGTCCATAGCAGGGTATTCTCACGAAGGACTTTAAACATTACAGTAAGGATCCATCAGGCCCAGTTATTGAACACTGCAACTTTAAACACATTAGGGTACACCTGCTTTTGGAGAGAGCAGAATTCTCAAGGACAGAGGAAGACCATGTCCTGGATTTACTGTGGGCTCAGCTGAGTGTGCCGTCATTATGTCGGCCATAAATATACCTGCAGGAGATTGTTACTACTGGCCATAAATCTGCCTTTAATCACGTATCCTGGTATGTACGGAGGCATCAGTCAACCTGCACCGCACGCTCCAACAGGAAACGGCTGTTTTTCAAATGGTGAAATTAGGATTTGGGACAATGCGGCAATATGTCAAAGGATTTTCCACATCATAACATAATGTAATTATTGAAACATTATCAGCGATGTTTCAATTTAAACATCAATGTTTTTGTTTTTGTGAGGAGTCTCTCGGCTGTTTGCCCTGACTAGCATACTAATACATAAAGCATATGCTGCTATCTCACATGTCCCCTCCAATGTGCCCTTGACCACTCATCTTGATGAGGTTAGATTGCCATAATGTGGTACTGAGGAGGGATTAGACGCCACGTCTGGAAATCCTCGATGCTGCAGATTAATGAGGGAAATGGTGACCAGTGGCACAGGTGGTAAAGGTTATTGGTATCTCAAACCGTTTTAAAAGGGATTTAAACGAGGGAATACTGGAGATAAGAATATCATTATGCCTTAGTTTCTTTTGGCAAATATACAGATTTGAATGGAAATTGACAGCTCCTTTTTTCCAGCATTCTTCACCATTGTCAGAAATCTGTTTTCACCAGCGGCTTTGTTATTGTGCTGTAAGGAAGTGTGTAAAGTGTGTATGCAAAGATTGACTTACTGTAGTTTGTGAATGAGTCATCCGTCAGTGTGAGTGGGTGTTTGTATTTTTCTGCCTCAATGCTTCTTCCTGCAGTGTAGTACCACCTACCCTCCTACCACAGGGTTTCTATGGTAGGATTTATTGTGTTATTTTACAGTTAGCTTTTCAGGCTGTAATTGTGTTTCAAATTAGTATTATTAAAAGTA